GCCTTTTGTGGTGTATTGTGATGCTTCTAAGATGGGTTTAGGAGGTGTGCTTATGAAGAATGGTAAGGTAGTTTCTTATGCATCAAGGCAGTTAAGGACTCACTAGAAGAACTATCCTACGCATGATTTAGAGCTTGCTGCAGTTGTCTTTGTGTTAAAGATTTGGAGGCATTATCTTTATGGTTCTAGATTTGAAGTGTTTAGTGACCATAAGAGCTTAAAGTATTTATTCGATCAGAAGGAGTTGAATATGAGGCAACGAAGATGGTTGGAATTGTTAAAGGATTATGATTTTGGTTTGAATTATCATCCAGGAAAAGCGAATGTGGTAGCTGATGCGTTGAGTCGAAAGACTTTACATATGTCAACAATGTTGGTTAAAGAGTTGGAATTAATTGAGAAGTTCAGAGATATGATTTGTTTGCAAGGTTACTCCGCAAAGTGTGATGTTGGGTATGTTGAAGATTAATAATGAATTTCTAGACAATATCAGAGAAGCTCGGAAGTTGGATGTGAAACTGGTAGATTCGATGATTGGGATCGATCAGTCTGAGAATAATGATTTTAAGCTAGATGCGCAAGGCGTATTGAGGTTTCGTAACCGAATTTTTATTCCTGATAATGCTGGGATGAAGAAGGTGATACTTGAAGAGAGTCATAGAAGTAAGTTGAGTATTCATCCAGGAGCTACGAAGATGTATCAAGATTTGAAAGGTTTGTTTTGGTGGCCTGGAATGAAGAGTGATGTGGCTCAGTTTGTGTATGCATGTTTGACTTGTCAGAAGTCGAAAGTTGAACATCAGAAGCCTGCAGGGTTGATGCAACCGTTAGAAGTTCCAGAATGGAAATGGGATAGCATTTCGATGGATTTTGTGACGGGGTTACCTAATACTATAAGAGGACATGATTCAATTTGGGTGATTGTTGATAGGCTTACGAAGTCGGCTCATTTTATTCCTATTAACATCATTTTTCCAGTGTCTAAGTTGGCTGAGATTTACACTAGTGTGATTGTGAAGTTGCATGGTGTTCCTTTGTGCATTGTGTCAGATAGAGATCCAAGATTTACTTCTGATTTTTGGAAGAGTTTGCAAGAAGCGTTGGGTTCTAAGTTGAGGTTGAGTTCAGCGTATCATCCTTAGACAGATGGTCAGACTAAACAAACTATTCAATCATTGGAGGGCTTGTTGAGGGCATGTGTTCTTGAGCAGGGAGGTTCATGGGATCTTATCTTCCGCTGATAGAGTTCACCTATAATAACAATTACCATTCTAGTATTGGGATGACGCCTTTTGAAGCGTTGTATGGTCGAATATGTAGAACTCCTTTATGTTGGCATGAATCTGGTGAAAGTGTAGTACTTGGACCTGAACTTGTTCGTGAGACTACTGAGAAGGTGAAGTTGATTCGAGAAAAGATGAAAGCTTCCCAAAGTAGACAAAATAGTTATCATGACAAGCGAAGGAAGGATTTAGAATTTCAAGCGGGCGACCATGTGTTTTTAAGAGTTACACCTGTGACTGGTGTTGAGCGAGCATTGAAGTCTAAGAAGCTCACTTCTTGTTTTATTGGACCATATCAGATTTCAGAGAGAGTGGGGAATGTTGCTTATAGAGTGGCTTTACCGTATAATCTTTCGAATTTGCATGATGTGTTTCATGTGTCACAACTCCGGAAGTATGTTTCAGATCCATCTCATGTGATTCATATGGATGATGTGCAAGTACGAGATAATCTTAAGGTGGAGACAATGCCTGTACTGATTACAGATCATGAAATAAAGACTCTGAGGGGCAAAGAGATTGCTTTGGTTAAAGTGGTTTGGCTAGGAACTGCCGGAGAAAGCATGACTTGGGAGTTGGAGAGCAAGATGCGAGACTCCTATCCTGAGTTGTTTGATTAAGGTAAATTTTCGAGGACGGAAATATTCTAAGTGGGGGAGAGTTGTAACGCCCGTAATTTAATTAATTATTTAATTAAATTATTTTTTGGAATATTTGTGAAGTTGTATTGTGATTAGTTGGATTTAATTAATTTATAAAGTGGTGGAATAATACTAGAAGAATGATAATATTATTTGATGTGGGCTTGTTTTAAAAGGATAGAAGTAGTAATAAGGGGGTGTAGTAGTCTTAAGCCCATTAAGGAATAAAGAGAATAATAGGTTATTTTATTATTGTAGAAATAATAAGAAAGAAGAAGCAGTAAGAAGAATAAGGGGTTGAAAGAAAGAACGTGAAAGCTGTTGGAAAGGAGGAAAAGAGCAGAACGAAAATTCAACCGGAAAGTTATAGAGCAACCTTCAATCCAAGGTAAGGGTCGGGTTCTGACTCTATAATAGGGTTTATGATGATTGGTATGTGGGATTAGATGTGGAATTGTTGTCTTGTTCATGATTTGAATGTATATGATGTTGTATGATGAAAAGCGATGATTGAAAGATGAATAATGATGTCCCAATGTTGTATATTTGATGTAGAATTATAGGATAATTGTAATTGATGATTATCTATGATTAGAGGATGTTTTTAGGGCCTAAAGTTTGGAATATGTAGTGAAAACACAGTGAAATCGCAGAAAATATTCATGACAGAGCAGTATGTGTCGACCCCAAACGTTATATGTCGATACAAGAATGCTGTTAGACTCAGTATGAGTCGACACGAAGGGAGTCATGTGTTGATACATGATGGCTTTTAGACTCAGGATGAGTCGATACTTAGAAGCATGTGTCGATACATGCAGTGTGGTTGACTCAGTATGAGTCGATACAAGAGGGTATGCATCGACTCATGTAGCGTGATCAGTTCAGCACGCGTCGACCCAAGACGTTATGCATCGATCCATGTTGTCTATTTTTTGACAGATTCGTTTTCCCAAGGCTGTAACTTGAGTTTTCGGACTCCGTTCGAGGTGTCGTTCGAAGCTTTGAATAGCTAACGTGATGAACTTTATTCTTAAGGATTAAAATTAAGAATAGGAAAGATAATCATAGTATCCAAATTAGGACTAGAGTTAACTCCCGCGTTGATCGCTATGCTGATTTTTGTGAAGAACGATGAGGATGAGATGGTTATAGATTTCTGTTTGGTTTGTAACAGTAGGATTAATGATGAGAATGGTGCAATATTACAAAATAGTAATATGTAAAGGTTTGGTAATTTAGAAGTAAGCCTTATATGATTAATTAGTTATAGGTGAATCATGTTGTAGGCCTATGGCCAACGTTGCAAGATTGATGAGTTGCTGTTGTAATGTTGTTGTGGCTGAATTGTTGTGAATTATGTTGATATATGATGTTTGATGAATTATGATGTATAAATGATGTTTGATGAATTACGATGTTAAATGATATTGATGAACGATGTTGATGAAATATGTTGAGATGCCTCTAATAATGGGCAGTTATTAAGATGTAGGCTTATGGCCAACGATGATATTTGTGTTGAGATATCGTTAATTATGGTGTTATCATTACATCCATGATTGTGTTGCATACATTGCATTTTAAGATGGAGCTTATGCCCATTAAAGATGGCATGTATTGGCGAATTTTAAGATGAAGGCTTATGCCTTGTTGATGCCTCTATTTATTGGCAGGTTTTTAAGATGGGAGTTCTGCTCCAATGGTACCACATGCATTTGTATAGTATTGATTCGTATCATACGATTGCATAAAGAAGTTATGTATTGATGTTGTGAACGTGTATTATTATTGCGATTATTGTTGATTATAAGATGAGAAGTGGTGATGTTATGTGATCTAATCTAATATATTAATTATCATACGTTTTATTATATTGTTAGATATCTCACCCCTTTTATTTGAATGTTTCTCTTATGTTGGTAACGTGCAGGTAATCGAGAGTGAATGCTGTATACCTTCAATAGTTTGAGTCGGTGTCATTGCCTGATATTAACACTCGGGGGGATGAACGCTTGTTGCTTTTGATTGTTGATTATTCAGTTGTTGAACTTTAAGTTGATTATTATTAAATATGTGTTGTTTTGAAGTTGTTGTAACGATGATAAAGATGTTATTATGAATTCTGCTGCGTAGATGTTTAAATGGTTTAATTAAGAGATTTAAGTACTATACTGATGGTTCATCCGAAGTTTAAAGTGTTATGTATCCACGATGAATGCAATGTGTTTTTAATGATGAATTTGTGGCATCCTGATTCGTTTGCATGAATGATTTTATAACTCTGATTTATTTATATAATTGTCGAGTAGAATTAGGGTGGTACATAAACTCATCAGAATCAACGCTAATTCTAACTTTTTGGAAGTTGTTGCTTCTTTTCTTTCTTGCAGGTTGGAGGATAAGGAGTTCATTTTCCTCAGTATTCCCATTGGCTCTAATCCCAGAAAGTGTGCCATGTGGAAACCGCTTATTCAGAAGATGAAGAACATGTTATCTTGTTGGAAGAGTCGACTTCTTAGCCTTGGAGGTAGAATTACCCTGTTGAAGTCGGTTCTTTGTTCCCTGTCTATATTCATGCTCTCTTTCTATAAAATGCTGGTTAAGGTCGCCAAAGAAATTATCAAAGTTCAAAGCAATTTCTTATGGGGCGGTTCGGAAGATCGTAGAAGAGTGCATTGGATAAGTTGGAAGGAAGTGTGTTCGCGGTTGGACAAAGGAGGTATGGGCTTAAAGAATATTGTATATTTCAACGTGGCACTTCTCTTCAAGTGGAGATGGAGGATTTTGAATGGATCGGATTCTTTATGGTTTTGCATTTTGAAAGCGCTATACGGAGACATTAGTCTGCAGATGGTGAATGGGAGTTATTTTCTTTATCCTAAATATGTGAAATCATTCTGGTGGTCTGACTTTGTTCTTTTAGAAAATAATTTTAGGGATGATTTATTTTCTCAGAATTACAGGATTAGGATTGGATGTGGATACTCCACTTCCTTTTGGCATTCGAGATGGACAGAGGATATGAGTTTGAGAGAGATTCCCACTTCTGTTTTCTATTTTGTGTTTGAAGGATATGAGTTTGGAATTGAGGAGACTTTGGAATTCCCCATGTTTCTACTGTTACGACGCTGCAGTAGCGGGAAGCTTGCAGGCCCCATTTCTGTTTCTGCAGCAGAAGCCGCAGTTAGGCTCTGATCCGGATCTAGTTTCTTGGGTGGCCAGTCCGGTTGAGGGATTTTCGGTTAGCTCATGTTATGATTTGATTGCAGATTCTAAAGCTTCTTTCGGCCATGTGAATCGTTATGGAGAAGCGTGGAAATGCCTTTGGAAGACGGAGGTTCCGACGAAGATAAAAGTCTTTGGTGGGAGATGCTTTCACAATCGTCTACCGATGCGCAATCTGTTAAAAACCAGAGGTATTATGGATTCTAAATCGGATAGTAAATGTGTTTTTTGTTTGGCAGCAGATGAGTCGATGGATCATACTTTCTTGCATTGCCCGATGGTGAGGCTTATTAGTAGGGAAGTGTCGGAGTGGCTGGGTTTTCCCGAGGATTCTTGTGGGAGTGTAAAGGAGAGTTTCTTGAGGTGGTTTTCTTTTGTAAATTTAAGAAAGTTAAGAAAGAGAAACAAGGTAGTGTTTGGCTAGTTATTTTTTTGGAATATTTAGATTTTATGGAACAACATTATTTTCAAGAATCAAGGAGGAAACATTTTAGATGTCCTTTGGAACATCAAAATTACGGTGTGGAGATGGTCCTTCATCTTCTGGCGATATTACTAAACTCAATTGTAATTTTTACGAGTTTAACAAACTTTCATTGTTTTATTTAGTTTAGGTGCAATTGGTTGGTAATTTGTCTTTTGTCGAGTTATAATCTCAGATCATTTTTATAATAGGTTTGAGAACCATTCTCTTTTCAATATAAAATTTTGTCAAGAAAGATTGATTCATTTAGCAAAAGTTGTCTTACATATCAAGAAGTCAGAGTTCAACTTTTATTGTAGATGTGATGATATTTTTGGTAGATAATCTATAAGTATTAGTGCTCTTTGAGCCTTGAGGTCTCCTCAGATCTTGTTGACCCTCCAAAAGTCTAACTCATCTAAACTTTTTATAAAAGAAAAATCATTAAACAGGAGTGTTTGCTATATATGTTTGCATAAACTCACATTTAATATAACTCTTTTATCAATTTTTTTTGGTTACAGCTCTTTCATCAATTTAGTTCGTGAACTATTGAAAATCAACTAAAAGGTCGCTCATAACACCCAATTATATTATATATTTCAATTAATTTTTCTAATATTTTTTTGGTATTTTTTAGTTTATTTTGTGTGAAACAGTGCAAAGTTTGAAGCATCGTAGAAAATATCAATATAATTCAAAAGAGAAATGATATGATGACACCAACTTTTACACTTACATCTAAAACACTTTCACAGATATAGGAACAGCATTTTTATTAATATTTTAACTTTTTGATTTATTTTTTAAATTTTTTTTAAATTATTTTGGTTAATAGAATATTAAAACTTAATTAATACAGTTTAAAATTTAGTTAATATATATTCTAATATTAAAAAAGTTAATATGTATACCGTTTAGACTTTGGTTAATAATTTGTATAAAATTGATTAATATATTTTTTAATTTAGTTAATGAGTTCTCAAGCATAAAAAAAAATTAAATAATAACAATAAATAAAATTGGTTAATAGAGTATAAAAATTAGTTAATACATTTATAATTTAGTATCAGAATATAGTTAATACTATATATTCTATTGGTTAATGAAACAACGAAAATGATTAATAATTTATAAATAAAATAACTATTAATAAAATATATTTTTGTAATTAATATAATTGTTAAATTGGTTAATGATACAATCATATATATATATATATATATATATATATATATATATATATATATATATATATATATATATATATATATATATATATATATATATATATATATATATATATATATATATATTTGTATTATTAAAAAAGTTATTAACAATATTGATTAATGATGTACATTTTTTTTACGAGAGCCACTTCAACAAAAGTTAGAGAACACGGTGCACCTTATCATTGCAAGAAGAATATTTTTTGTGGCTGAAGGTATAGGTTTGATTATTCATCATCATATGAGTCTAGTGTTTCCTAGTGTTTTGTTATGTGATTAGTTGAGTTTTGTTCTATAAAGTTGTTCTTAATGCCTTTTATTCATTGTCCGGTGAGTAAATTGATTCTAAAATGTATAAGAGGGTTAACTTTGTCCTCTGCAATTCGATCTTATGTTTTTGTTCAACCTCCAATATTGTTAGACATAAATTATGAGTATTTCTTAATGCACTTCAAGTATTTTTTAGGTATCTATGTGAATTTTCAAATATGTTTTTAGGAATTGGAAATGTATTTTCGGTGCACACTCTATTATAAAAAAAAACATATAAATCAGAAGTATACTTATGATTTTCAAATCGGTGTTGTATTTTCGGTTACACTTTAAATGAACTAAATAGTTACACTATGATAAGCCACACTCTACCACATTGATACGAACCGGAAATGGAACACCGGTTCTAAACTGTAAGTGTATTTCCAATTTGTATTTTGACATATACTCGCGCTACCTCCTCCCCTTTCTTATTTGCTGTAAACACAAACAAAACACAAAACCTTTCAAAATCTCATTGTTCTAAAATACTCATTGTTTCAAAACCCATCAATTTATCACAACACATAAGGAAATCATCAAGTATAATCAAAATCAACCAAGGAGAGAGTCTCATATCCATCCATCTCTGCCTCTGTCCTCCCACAGACGTACTTCTTCACCGTATGTATCCGGACCAAGAGAGACATCCGGTTTTCACCCACAGAGTACACCACATTCAGTCCATACCTCCCCACCTCCTTCCTCCCACGGCCTTCCTATATTCTTTGAGACAGGAGAAACTTTTTCATCTCAGCCGACACCTGCTTCTATCCAGCCTACACCGGTTCCCACTCAGCAGACATCAAAGGCCACCCAATATGCACCAGCAGCCCATCCATAACCTGAATCAGAGGCCCATCCACAGCCTGCACCAGAGACGCCTCATGCCTTTGGAGGAGGACCTTCTGATTTGTCATTACTGCTGTTGTATCCAAACCATATTGCTAGGAACTTATGGGACAGAGAGGTAAATATTTCATTTAACAATTGTTACATATTGTGTGTTTTTTTTGATAAGTATTGTGCTCATTTAAATCTTGAGTGTTTATCTATGCATGCTGGACCGTGATCCACTCAAGATAATTAACCATTCTAGGAAGATCAGTCGCCTGGAACCACCCGCCGAGCCATGGTTCCAGGAGCTGTTGTACATCACTGGGCTGCGTGATTTGGTCTTATATGGATATACTATCATTAATCATGGTGTGATTAACGCTTTTGTTGAGAGATGACATCACAAGACATTATCATTCCACCTATCACACGGTGAGATGACAATCACACTGGACTATGTCACGTGTGTGTTGCACCTTCCAATTAGAGGGAGGTTTTTAGATCATGAGAGGTGCACCAAAGAGGAGGCGTTGTATACGTTGGTGGAGTACTTAGGAGTTACTCCAGAGGGTGCTATGGCTAAGATCGACAAAACTCGTGGGTGTCATGTCAGATTTAGCTACTTGCAGCAGGTGTTCACATCTGAGATAGGGCGTGCACGACAGGCTGATGGTGATAATTTGTAGGTAGCCTAGCACAGAGCACGTGCTATGAGGGCATATCTTTTGTATCTGGTTGGCATGCAAATTTTTGTGGCACACATATCTATTATAAATTATTATTTTGTTTAAATTATTTTAGTGATTTCTACATTAAGCTTGACATCCATCCAACCATGTTATCACGATATTGTTAGTCATAATAGGAGGGCTAAAAAGTACGAAAATGTTTCACCAATAACTAAATTTTCTAATTAAATTACCTCAATAACCATGTTTTCCTATAGTTTACCCAAATAACAAAGTTTTGTTTTTGACACAAAAGGAGGCGTCATCTCATATGACGCATGCACTAAAAAATAACGGAGGCGCCATATGAGATGACACATGCATAGCCATGACACCATATGAGATGGTGTATGCATGCAAGCTCTGTGTGTAACACTCTAATTTCAGTAAATTATTTTATTTTAGTTTAATAATAATTTGGTGTATTTATTTAATTATTATGTGTGAATGATTAAATAAATGTGGGTGATAGGGAGGGTGTGTGACTTGATAGTAGGGTGTGAGGGGTAATTAGAGATTGATAGAATAAATTATAATTTATTTTATTAATTAAAATAATAATTTAATTATATTATTTAAATAAAATAAATAGATAAAAAGAAAATAGAAGTCGTAGAGATATTGAGGGCAAGATGGGGATTAGAGAGAAAATTAAGGGCAAAGTAGAAATATCTTAATTAAGAAACTAGGTTTTTAGTGTTGAAAAAGAATTAGAAGGGGGGAGTTGAGCAGTAGATAAATTTTTTTGGGGGAAAAGAGGAAAATGGGGTTAGGGCAAGAGAAAGAGCAAGAGAAGGTATAGAAAGATCACCCATTGATAGAGTTTGGAAGAATTTTACAAGGGGAATCTAAGGTAAATGGGAGAATAACTTAATTAAGGGTATATGCATGAGGGGTGGGATATATGAGTCCTTAAACTCCAATAGGGCTTGTTGATTCATCGATTTTTGGATAAATATTGATGAATGTATGATGTTGGATCTGTATTTGTATGCATTGATTTGGATTGTGTTATACCTCAATTTTTACCCCTAAGATCCTCTCATCATCTCATAACATCAATACATCAAGATCACACTTTCAGGTTGGTTATTTCTTTGGGTTTGTTCCCCTATCTTTAAGTTTTCTCTCAAGGGATCGCCAAGCACCTTAGTTGTGTATTTTGTATATGTGTTGTTGACTAATCTCTAATCAAACTACCAAAAATATTTGCTTTGTTTTTGTATATTTGTATTTTGTAGGTATCAAGCTAAAGCATAACAAGTAAAGTTTTTCTAGTGATTTTTCTCTAAGAAAATCGATTTCCCTGATTTCTTTTTTGCACTAAAATTGCATTTTTTTGCTGTGCAAATCGATTTGCACAGACATGCAAATCGATTTACATACACGAAATTTTGAAATAAAAAATCAATCTTCAAGTTTGTTAATTTTTGGCTCCAATTTTTTTTTGTTTTAAAAATATCATTGATTATCAAAAAATAATTTCTCACTTAATAAAAATTAAATTTCATCATACACCTTCATTTGATCACATGTGCACCACTTGATTCAATTTTTGGCTCCAAAAATAAATTACCAAGCCTAATTTTGGTTTCAAACCAAACTCCAAACCACCACTAATCCCAATCCTAAACTCTATAAATAAAGCCCTCGTTTAATTCAATTCTCAAGCTTTTGATAACCAAATCCACCTTGCAAAAAATTCTCTCAATTCTCTCCATCTACAAAATTCACTCGAAGCTCCATTTTCATAAAGTTAGTAAGCTTTTCATTGAAGCTTACTAATCTTTGAGCTAAACCTTCATCCAAACACTTTTTCTTCATCAATTCTCTATATCCAAGCTTGGGATAT